CTGCTTTGCACCAGGTGCTTACTTCATATTGTTTTCCCATTTCCCATTTTATTTCGAAATCATTTTCTCTATTGCCATTCCCAAAAAACTCTAGCTTTGTTGCTCTTCACTGCCCAACTTCTCGGAATCGAGCGACTTTTTTCACGGAAGTAGATTGTGCTAAAGGGGGATTCGACAACGGGGATTTATAATTATCCTGAGTGCGTCGGCCCGTTTGGAAGCAATGTATGACTGCCGAGTTACTAGCGGCCAGTAGTATCAGGCGACCAGTAGTACCGGGCGTCTTCGTGCAAAGCGAGTGTCATGTGAGTGCTTTGAGCTATCCATGGATTGCAGGAAATTCAGTGGTAGAGGCGCCAAACTGCTCATTTATTGACACCTCCTGATCAGGGCGCTTCCTGCCGTTGAGGAGAATTTTGCAAGATACGATCCTCCTCTCGGAAATTTTTCTTCTTATACTACCCCCCCCCCTCTTCTCCAACACTCGTCCTACCTACCGTCTTTCTAAACATTTCCCTAGTAATCCAACTCCTTTACTTTTCGAAATTTTCCGAAAACACCACAATTCTCCTTAAAATTGTGCCATTGAGGTGGAGGAGGTGGGTGAGGTGGAGGTATGAGTGGTGAAATGCGGCACACACGTGAAACGCATTAAAGCAGGTGGCGAACCCCTTATTCCTCCAGTTCTCCAGCCGGACCAACGACCACCTTGCTGGGAATCCCCAGCGCATGAAGTGCCCTGCTCCTTAACATAACATTCTCTAGTCCGAAAATGCCCCTGCTGTCCGCTACTGTTATTGCCGCCAAACAGACCTGTGGCAGTTTTCGTGTCCATGTTATGTCCCATCCTTGTTCAGGGCGTCTAACTACTTTTCTGAAGTTTCTTGCCAAATATACTCATAGGCCAAGTTTCCAGGAAAGAAAAACCTAGCTCAAAACTCCTAGGAACTTGGCAATGAAGGGGGATTGGTGTCAGAACTTTGATCAAAGCATTCGAGCCAAGTTGCAGAAAAGGAAATTGAGCCCATGTTTTGAAGAGTGTGGCAGTGAAGGGAAATAACGCCAGAACTTTGATTAAAGTTTCTTTCCATTTCAGTCAGTCATCGACAGCAAACCAGAGATGGTGCGATTTCTATGTGAAAAGGGTGCTGACGTAAATGCTCAAGACAATGAGGGTTGGACTCCACTGCATGCAGCAGCTTGCTGCGGAAATTTAGCTATAGTCAAATATTTGTGCCAAAACGGGGCTCGACTTAATGTAATTAACAGGTACGGAAATTACTTGGTCTAGTCATCGGACTAACGTAGTTCAGAGAGATCATGCGGCGGCGCCACGCCTGCTTGGGGGCTCTGACACTTTGCGCAGTGCTAAAACAGCACTTTGACGGGAGTGGGACACAAACGCGCCGCCGCTTGGACTCTCCTACAGTATGAAGATCCACATGGATCAAGATTTAGACGCCATTTTCGCTCAAATGTTGTGTTTCAGTGATAAAGAATTAGCGTTGGACTTAGCCGACGACGAGTCCTGTAGGGAATATCTTGAACGTGATTACCGTGATCAGGGCGTAATTCCTGAGCAATGTCGTGATCAAGAGTTAGCTATTATGATGAGAGATGCTCAACAATGGCTGCGCGATGGAGAATATCGGTACGAAATGTTTTTGTCATAAGCTCTTCAGCATACGACAATTTTTGCGCAGTTTGGCTGGGGGGGGGGCATCCTGCAGTGTAGCTACTCCCTGTTGTCTTGTCGAGCCATCAAGTAGAGATTTGTGAAATGTTGTGAAGCCATGAGGTAATACGAGTGTTAAAGTTCGTAGAGTTTACTTGCCAACTCTTGTAAAGCAACGAACACGACAACAGGAAGAAGCGAAAGGACAAAACGCCCCCGCCTTTCCGTCGGAAGTGCGCCAGATTTATATTAGTTATTTTGCGATCGAACACACTTACTTTTGTTCAGAGATCAACCGCATCGACGCACAGGAGCAACTGCATTGCATGTTGCAGCTGCCAAAGGTTATACGCAACTTCTTGAATTGCTCATTAAAGCTGGTGGAAATATACGGGCGCCAGACAAGGTGTGTTTTGGAGTGTTGCTGGTTTTGTATTTATGTAATGCTTGCGTTTTGGTTTCTTCATGTCGCTGTTTCGATTTATAACAAACTCTGGGGAAATACGTCGGGGAGGAGCATTTAATGGTCTCTGTTTGTGCTAAACTAGGTGCAAGGCCTCAAAAACTTTACCACCTCAAAGCTTACCTATCTTGGTTAGGAAACTTTTCATTATTACGCTAATCCCTGTTTGGCACAAAAAGTTCTTCAGATGCTCCTCCTTCTAACAGATCTGCCCAAATCCGTTTATTCTTTCTATCTATGCAGTTCGCTTGCTTTCAGGACGGATGGACTCCGTTGCATGCAGCGGCCCACTGGGCAGAGAGGGATTCCTGTAAAATATTACTCGAGCATGGTGCAAGTATAATGGACACTAACTACGCGGTGAGTCCTTGTCTTTTTAGTCTGTAATGTTTTGTGTGATCCGGATAGAGATGATGTAGTGGCAAGTGGTCCACTTACCGCGCGGCGGTCCGTGGTTGAATCCCAGGCAGGCCATGTTAGAGAGAAATTTTGCAGATTACGGCCCTTTTTGGAATTTCCTCCTGTGTTTGTCTACATAGTCCAGTAGAATGGGAGAAAGCAAGTAAAGTCAACACTAGAAAACGTTCTTCTCAAAAGCAATAACTGCTTCGCTGCCTCTACCGAAATAGCTGGGATCTTCAGCGTACGACTGCCCTAATCCCGCTTAGCTTGAGCCCGCACCAGCAACATCTTCATCCCTCTGAGGCTATGGAATTGTTGCCAGACTGATCGGGGGGGGGGGGGGGGGAAGTGGGGATAAAAATATAAAAACTGACATGTACGTACGTCAGCTAACTCCCACAAGTCATCGTACAGCCTACTTCGGATTCAAATGCCACTACGATTTTCTGTAGAATCAGAATGCGTGCCGTATCCCAACACGCGAATGATCAACGATGAGAGTTTTTTCCTTACATCTTTCAATTTTACGTATGGTCACAGCTCCAACGGAGTGATGCCACCCTTTGATATGTCTAGTCTTTCCTCGTTTCTTATGACCAGATTGCTTCCTGTCTAGTCCGTAATTTTTTCCCTTGAGGTTGATTGCACTTTCAAGGCAGTGTCGCGTATCATTCTGGTAGCAGATCCCAGTGTAAAACCTCCCACCTTAAGTATTTGCCCCCAATCTGCAACCCTTTAGGAGTAGTATCCCGTTATAAACTGAGATCACTTCTTGACGTCCTCATGAAAAATGCTTCACTGAATAGCTCAAATATTTGCTACCATTACCATAACTTCATTTTCAGGGACAAAACGTACTAGCCGTTGCTGACAAAGAAATTGTGGAGTATTTGGAGGATTTGGAGCGATCAGTCGACAAACGAAAATCTCCACCGTCTGCTCCTGCTGGAATATTGCAGGTATTTTCATATTATACAAATCCATATTTCCTTGACTGTTTTTTTTTGTTGAAAACTTATGACTTCTTGTGGGTTCGTCGACCGATTAGAGGTGAAATTGAGCTTCCATAGGATGATAGATGGTTTCAACAGCAACACTTTTGTTTAATAACTTCATCAGTTATTCAATGTTTTGATGTGGGTTGCCTTGGGGATACGTCGGGCTAAAACTTTGTTTTTGGGAACTTCATTGCGCCGGGCGAACGTGATAATCATGTTCAGGTGTACATACTTTCTCGGAGCCAAAGTTCTTGGCCAATATGTATCCCCAATGCGATGAGAGAACATCCTGCCGTTAAGGAAAAGTTTGCAAACTGCGGTTCCTTTCGAAGCTTCCCCCTCCCTCTTTCCCCATCCCCCATCCTACCTATCACCTTCCTAATTCTCTTCTATACCACTTTTCCGGAGTTTTCCCCAAAGTTCTCTTCTCTTTTTTTTACCAGGATCGAGGAGGGGGTAGGGATTGCACGCGTTTATATAGCACACATGAAACGAGAAAATCTGAGAGAAGTCAAGACCGAAAAACTTTTTTCCCAAAGGCGAATACTATGTTCTCTTCCCTGTAGCAACCCATACGGACCCATATAGCGACCCATGTATCCACACGACCCCCTCGCTGTAGATCCCGTACGTGTGACGTGCCCCGGATGAAGCTCACAGTATTTCTGTAATTCATGCACAAAAAAAACGATCTAGAGGCAGCACGAAAATTGGCGCTGTTGAGTAAGGTCGGGCATTGGCGCGATAGTATTGGAAGGTGCGCACAAGGAATTGTGCGCCAGGGGAGGATTTTTGCCTGAACTTGTGGGGGCCGGAGTTCTCGGTTAGATGAATTGATTCCTTTCTCATGCATGGTGATTT